GGGATTTTCTGTCTTAGCTTTCTCTCTACTGCATTTGAATGCACCTGTGGGACCCAGGCTTTTGAAGAAGCCAGTGCCTTCATGTTTTTTCTCCAAATACAGTGTACATTTGCTCTTAAATTTTCTGCCTAATTAAGTCTGTAGTTTTTATAGTTTAGTGATAGTCATTTTCAGCTTATAACGTGGCTCCACTGAATATGATATGGAGAAAAAGTAAAGTAATAACTCCTGAGCCACACAAAAAGGAAAGGCAATTATTTTGTCTTTTGAAATGAATAAGCCATAATCTTTAGGGCAGTTCCTTGCTTATCAGTTGCAGCAAGGCATGACTCAACCATCCTGCTTTGAGCGATGTCTATGGTAAATCTTCCTGCTCCTAAACCCCTCCACCCCCAAACCCCACAACCTTCCTTTTAGGTGGGAGAACCAGTAATGCATGTTTCAGCAGCAAAGCAGAAAGACAATTTCCTGCATAGAGTAGATACAGCCCATTCTCAACCCCTCCTTCACGACATTTGGGTCTGGGGAGCACGAATGAGCTAATGTTGATGGGAGCAGGGCTGGTGTCCTCCGCTGAAATCCTAACTTGCTTTTGTCAGCCCAGCCCCACAACGGTCATCTCCACTCACTCCACTCCCAGGGGTTCTGGAGGGCCAGGAGGCCACAGCTGCCATTGCTTTCTGAAGATGGTGGGCACCACAGCAGCCTGGCTCAGCCCAGCTCCCCAGCACAGTCTGCAGACACGGAGCGGTGCAAACAGTGTTCCAACTGGGCTCCACTGGAGCTGTGCGCAGGTGGTTTCATGGTTAAAAGTCCTAGTAGTGTAAAAAAAATCAGAGTAACTGGTAAGCATACCTCTGATGTCTCCGTATTTGCCTCCTCTGCTTTCTTTTCACTTGGTTTTTCCTTGCAGAGTTTACCTTGGAGAGTTTACCTCCCATCTGCTTGGGTGCCCTTTGCTGATGAGCAGAACTCTTTCTTTAATTAAGTCAACAAGTATTCATACACACAGGCAGCATCGTTTTTGGCTAAAGGACCTGAGCAGACCAGCCCCAGAAGCAATTGAAAAAGTCTGTCAAGCTCTGATTGAGTAGCCGTGATCAAAGAGTGAACAATTACCTGCCCAAGCAAATAGTTCCTAAAATGTTCTCATCCCAGGTCTTAACCATGAAACCTACTGGGCCAGAAGGTCAGGCTATCCAGTGTTCACTTGTGAAAAGAAATTAGGAACAAGCGATGTCACGTAATACATAGCCATAACTTCCAACTGGCTCCTAATTTTCAGACTGCCTAAGTCTCCAGCTACCTGGAGATCAACATTCTGAACCCTTTCCCCATGGTGGCATTATAAAATTCACATGCTTGATATGTTCTCTGCAATTCTTGGTGAAATATCTATTCCCCTCTGTCCAACTAAAAAAAATCCATTCCCCTCTGTCCAACTAAAAACGTAGTTGGAATACAGGTGAGTGAGAGTGACTTATGTTGTATTTGTTTTCATTTATTTTTAAAACGGATGTACTCCCCGAAAGTGTTTCTATGAACTGTGGTTGGTCATCAATAACTTCAATACAACACCCGATATGTGTCCTGTCTGCAACTGCATTTTACTGTTCTTGGCCAATGCGGCCCCTTCTGCATTCTCTTCTATGCTCATCTTCCCCCAACGTGCCATTAGTATGTCCTCCTTGCAAGGCCTTAATCACATTCCAGGCCATTAACTCCTAAAAATGTGGTGCAGTCTGATAGTTAGAAGTGCAGACACCAAACCCTTCCACAGATGCCCTGCTCTTGGGTTTGACTGGGCTGGAGATTTGGCAGCATGTTTGCCATGGTTAATTTGGAGGCAAATCCCAAGGAAACAGAACATTAAAAAGTTTGGATATGGCTTGGCATTCTCAGCATACCCAATCCAAATGGGAAAACTTTTACCCCCATTCTCTTGAGGAAGGAGGGATATGAAAAATGTGCAGGTTGAGAATAGGGAGACCTAGGTTTAAATCATGGTTCCCCCTTGGCCTTGGGCAAGTCCTTAACCTCTCACAATGATGGGATTTTTATCTGTAAAATAGGGGTGGCAGAGTTTCCAGGGAGTTTAGAGGCAATGGGTACAAAATTTCCTGCAGATGCCTGGCACACAGTATGAGCTAACAGAAAAATCTTAAGAGAATATTTATTTACCCAAACACTACTATCTACCATGGAATATTTATTTTTGAATATTTTGGAGAGTGTTAGACATGCTATGTGACTACAAGCAGAAGTCCTCTTGGATAAGACATGAGAGAGGCAAATGAAAGAAAACTGACGAGCAAAATGCTTTTCTGAAATCCTTGACGTAGTCTGGGGAAATTTTTGAAGAAGGAGATTCAGGGTCTCTCTTAATGCATGCAGTTTGAGTTGCAGAATAAACTCAAAATTTCCCTATCCCATAATGTCAGAATAAACTCAAATTTTCCCTATCCCATAATGTCATGTTGATTTTTGTGATATTTAGACAATCCCAAAGCAAGTACTTTTTATAACACATTAGAGAAGACATCGTTACTCTGGGTAAATTCCTCAAACTCCAAATAGAAGCAGTAAACATGTGAGTATAAATATGACAATCACTTGCTAAACTGCAACAATTTTAGATATTTTTTGGCATGCCTAAAGGTACAGAGATTTAGGGGGAATGAGCAAAAAGTAATTCAACTCATATATTGTTTACCCCACTTTGACTAAGTTTTGGTTGACGTTATCAATTTCTTGTAAAATTGGTGTATCATGCTATGGGAAAGGAAAAAAATGTTAAAAGTTTACCTCCCTGGAGAGAGGGAGCTGGAGAAGAGTGTAGCAGACAATTATTTATGGATAGTTTTACATGGATACAATTGTCATGGTTTTAATCTGATGAGCGAAAGATCCTCTAGTTGTTTATTTAGATTAGATGTGGCATTAGTGCCAGATTTTCTGTGTTTCTAAGCTTTCCCATATCTAAAATTTAAATGTGTCTGTAAAGGTGTTTAAAGGATCATCTCTAACATGGAATCATAATTCGCTGAAGAAAAATGATAGTCATTCTTCCCGTGGGGACGCTCTTTCTGTAAGGAGGAGTGGGGCAAGTGATTTTCTTATTCAGATTCTGGACCAAACTCTTGTCAGCAATGAAACTGATCTTTCCTATCAAGGCCAAAGAGAAGCGAGGGTTTGCATATTCAAGTTCTTCCTAGATGCCTGCCTCTATAATAGGACATCCACATCTGGCAGAGCTCTTATGGGACACACAGAGAGAACAGAAGAGTCTAAAAATCCAGCCAACATCTCAGTGCCAGAATTCAAGTTCAGAACACAAAGCTGAATATGTATCTGGCCAGTAAGAAGACACTCTTCAGAAAAAGGCTGAAAAAACAGTCACGCTCCAGGTCTCAGCACAACCTATAACAAAACTCAAATAAACATACAAACATACCCTCCATTGCAACGTGGAAAGAGATTTGTTTTTTTAGAAGGATTTAAGGAAATTATCATTTTGCTGCAAGGGAAGAAGAAAAGGATGTTGAGGCCACTACTCTTGCTGTGAAGGTTAGAGCTGCTTTGAATTTCTTGGAGGAATTACCCTAATAGAGGAAAGAGGCTAGGCAAATGGTCTTTAGTTTTAGACCACTGATTGTTGTCAAGAATTATTCCAAAAACATAAATCCTATTTTAAATCCTTGTTGTGGAACGGCAGCCATATATAATTTTTGCATATAGTTACCATCTTCCTCATTAGTAAACTATAGCTTGAGCAGCCCTAATCCGAAAATCTGAAATCCAAAATGCTCTAAGATCCGAGATTGTTTGAGCACCGACATGACGCCACAGGTGGGAAATTCCACACCTGACCTCATGTCTATGGGTTGTAGTCCAAAACAGTCAATTAAAAATATTGTAAAAAATTACCCTCAGGCTATGCATATGCGGTGTATATGAAACATAAATAAATTTTGTGTTTAGACTTGGGTCCCATCCCAGAGATATTTGATTATGTATATGCAAGTATTTCAAAATTTGAAAAAATCTGTAATCTGAAACACTTCTGGTTCCAAGCATTTCAGGAAAGAGATATGCAAGTTCTGTACTGAGTTATTATGGTTTACCAAAATTTGGTACACATAAAGCAAAATATAGCATGTTCCCCAAGTTCTTGCAGAAAAGTAGGAATAGATGAAGTTGAGTTGACTACTGGATCTTTTTCCAGAACAAATGGGCTTCTATCAAAAAATGTTTGCAAACTCCTGCTTTAGACAGTTCTTTGGTGATCCATCAGTATCTCTCTGAAGCTAAGCATTAGTATATTTCAAAGTTCGAGAAGAATGTATTTGGATCATAAGGCTCATTCCAACATGCCACACAGGTGAAGCTCATTCATTATGCAATAGTGAAGCAGATGAGAAGTAATGGGAGACAATCTTTTGCCTTTCAAAATATTATAAGCCCTGGATTTTCATAACAGAGTTCTGGAACAGGTAAGTGATTTGTCAAGAAAGCCTTTTGTAAGCCATGTTGAAATGGCTGTGCAGTAAGTGAACAGCCTCTGTCTTTGCAAGAAATTAACAGCCACCCCAAGCTCTTGATGTTTAAAGATATTAGCGAGAAAGCCTATCATCATCTGATCTTGGAACTGTTTAATGGGTTTTCTCTCTAGTAGTTAAATTGAAAGAATGATGCTCAGGTCTACTGTCTTCTCTTGGGAAAAGCCATACCGCCCTGGTTGGTTCTTTCAACGCTCTCCTGACCCCAGGATAGAGAATGCTACATTCTGAGACATCATGAGTGCCTCTCACTCTCATCTTTGGGAAATGAGGAGCAGCATCCATTCAAAGTGCAGCCAAAGGTAAACTTCACTGTCAAGTTTCCCTCAAGCTGAGAAATTGGATGTGTCAGAAAGGGTGGAGTTTCAGAACTTGCTCTAAAAATAATGTGTCTGGATCTCGGCCACCATCTTAATGCTCTTCCTCTCTAAGCCCTCTCCCCATAAATGTCAAATGTGGCTGTCAGTAGGTTTAGCCTGAAAATAAAATCCCCTCACTTCCATCAAGAAATAGCTCCAAACTTAGAGTGTGTGCTCAAAATATTCATGATGAAATCATAATCCTGTATTTATAGTCTTTTGGATTGTGCATGAAATTCTGTTTCCCATGGTGGTTTTCGTTGAAGCGGGCACAGAGTGACCGAGAAAGCATTAGCTGCAGGGAAATGCTGTTCCGTATCGTTCTGAACTGGTTGGTTGTGAGAAACCCTCCCTCTTCCCTGTGCCCTATCCACTGCCTAATGAGTTGGGTTTACCCCCCACCCCATTCCCAGAAGGTCCCCTCTTTGATTGGTCCTGTCTTGTCCTCCAAGAAGAGCTGGCCTTCTGAGAAGGAAGTGGGGTGGGTACCTAAGCTTATTCCCCTTTCCTCTGCATCTTTCCTGTCCTAGACTTCCTCCCCGTTTTCACTGAGGGAGATGGTGTGGACCTTAATGGTTGGAACTTGATGGTTCTTGTCAAGGCTGGGGGTTGAGGGCCCTACACAGCAGCAGACCTGCAAAAAGCTTTTACTTCTCACCCGGGCTGTGGTGCAGGAGGATTGGTCTTTGGACACTGTAATCCTGGCAGATCCACGGGGCATGGAAGAGAAAAATTTCCATTCACAAACACCATCCGTCTTGGAGATCCTGTAGAAGGTCTCTCCTGATCCCACGGGGATGCGCACCGTGTCCTTGTGCTGCCCTTCCAGGGCCTGACTGGGCGGGTGCAGGGTGTAGCCCAGGGCATGTTTGGAAGACTGCTTTCTGCGGAGACACTGGATTCTCAAGACATTCTGAAAGGCCTTTTTGAACTCTTGGCTGGAACATGGGTATATGATGGGGTTGATGCAGCTGTTTAGATATCCGAGCCAAAATACTATTTTAAAAACTGTTTCAGAGGGCTTGATATCAGGGAAGAAAGACCCTGGAAGAAAACACACAGATTGATATATATTATTTGCAAGCCAGCAGGCCAATTGGCTAGGAAAACAAACAAACAAACATCTTTCTGTGTTTTTGAAAAGGTTAAAATGATCCCAAACACATTTGAGTTTCTCATATTTGACTGACTAACTTCTGTGACTGTCACCCTTTTGCAGTATCTTCAAAGACCATTCCTACTTGGTTTATGTGTGTCATTAATTACAGGAGCAGGCCCAGTGGATAGGGTTGCATTGGCTCACAGTGACCAATGCCTGCTGTGAAGTTTTACCAAATGAAAATGTGAAACTCAGACTGATCCCACATATGTACATTGTTTTGCCTAAACTGAAAAGTAAGTTGGAATCCATGCAAATAATCCGTATTAAAATTCAGTTACCTGAACATGCCCTTTATTCTCTGATGCAGTGTTAGGTAACAGACACAGCTTCAGTGTTTATGAATTCTTCCCCTCTCGAATATTAGAATTACGGATTTTGATGAGAATCTCAACTTCACACAATATTGGCCTTGCCAATGTTGGGCCAGTGATTCTCAATCACTTTTCCTAGATGATGTCTTTTGACATCACCGTGAGTTCCCTTTGTCAATATCCCTCGATGACTCCCAAATGTGTGTCATTTGCTTCACATTCAGAGTCCTCCACAGCCCCTGGTCTGACCAGCTTTCTAATATGATTGGTTGTTGTTTTTTTCTCTAGCCAGACTCACTACACTTTTTCTCCAGGTCATTGGTCAATTTTTTTTGTCCTCTCAAGTTGGGCCACTGTGTCCTTGATGCCCTTTTCCACCTTCTCTACCTACCCAAACCCTACCCGTTGATGTGCATAGCAGGAACCCCGCCTCAGGACCTGTCATGACCTGCACGGAGAGTGCCACGGGGCATTTGGCAGCAGAAGAACAAAACTGTGAAGTCTTAAAGGGGAACAATCTTAAGGATTATCTCCTCCAATTACTCAATTTACAAATATGAAAAAATGCGTATTTAGCCTTTTCCCAGCTGCCGCCAAGACACTCCGCCCTTCTGAGCTGAGGTCGCCTTGGGGTGAGGCCCTCACTGCATCCAGCACTAGCACTATTCCGGGCAGCCCAGCCTTGCACTTGTCCATAGCACGGACTCCATCTCAGAGCTCGCCTGCACCGACTCAGCCCTCCTTCTGCATAACGCTGAGGGGATCATCACAGAGGATAAGGTCAATGTCCTTTCTAAAGCAGCTGGGGTAAATGATGACGACTTTTGGCCTGGCTTGTCTGCCAGGGCCCTGGCCATTGTCAACATCAGGAGCCTCCTCTGCAGTGGAGGGGTGGGGTGGGACGACCTGCTCCAGCAGCTGGTGGTGCATCTGCAGGAGGTCCTGCCCTTCCATTACTGCAGCCCAGGTAGAGGAGAAGAAAGTGGAAGCAAAGAAAGGAGAATCTGGAGTCTGATGATAACATGGGCTTTTTTTTTTTTTTTTTTTGAGTAAGCCTATTTTATAGCATGTTCAATAAAAAGCTGAACTCTTAAAAATGCTTATTAAAGAGACTGTCACAAACCTCATAGCTATAATACTGATAAGAGTGATGGATAAAGGGTATGGGACTCCCAGTCGAATGTTCTTTATTCTCTGATTCTCAGACTTCCATGGGCTTTTACTAAAGGAGCTTTATGAATTATGAAATCCCAAATGTCCCTCTTCACTCCTTTCAGAGAAATTGCAAAATAACATCCTGACTTTCCTTCCACCTCCTTTCTTTTCTTTCTCCACTCCCAAGCTCGTTTTCCTTCTCCACAGGCTTTTAGTCACAGCTTTGTGTACAGTTGGCAGAATGGCTTTGGGAAAGTCCCATGATCCCTTTGGGCCTCCAGTTTTCTTATCTGAAAAAGGAGTAGGTTGAATGGATGATTCCTAATGGCCCTGAACAATTTTTTTTCGTCGTTGTTTCAAACCTAAGGTCTTGATTTTATGTCTTTCTTTTCTTCTCTGCTCTGTGGACCTATCAGAGTCATGACAAATTGCTGGTGCTCTTAAAATCTACTCTGGCAAACAGTGCTCTGAAATTAAGTCCAAAAGTTCATCAATATAAACAGAGAGTAAACTTAAATACTGAAGATCCCAAAGAAGACAAAATATTGTGGTTGTTGATGGGAGCATTTATTATCTCTGAAGCAACACTCCCTGCTAAGTTCCATGTATCTCAAATTCACACACACACACACACACACACACACACAAAATGGGTGTTTATTTGGGAAAAAAAAAACATGTAAAGTGAGAAAGTTTTATTCTTTAGCTCTAAAGCTCTTCACATTGTCCTATAATTATAATAAAGTTTACAGTCTTTGAATGCGTGATTTGAAACAGGCAAGGCAGTGTGCTGAACACTTTCCATATGATTTAATCATCATTAGTACCATGAAGAGTTATGTTACTCTTCCCTGTTTTACAAACGAAGAAACTGTGGCTTAATGAGTTTGAATAGCTCAACTGAGGTCACTCACATAGTTACTGGTAGGTTTGAAATTGGGCAGTGTGATTTCAGGGCCCATGCTCCTTTATGGAATCTCCAAATATATTGGAATAATACATCTCTTAGGAGGATGGCCGATGGGGAGTGATAAAGTGTGCAGCTAGGGGAAGCTGAATTGGAAAAACGCTTTCTTGAACCTCATCTGTGATGGAAAAAATGGCTAATGCCAACATGACTGATGGTTTTGTGCAAATGCGGTCAGTTCCAGAAAAAAATTTGTCTTACATTATGATACCTATATATTGTCCAATATTTCCTCCTAATAGTGACAGTGATGTGATTAAGGAAACCCATTTCACAAAGGCCTGCCTGGGCCTGTGCTTAATGACTACAAGAATGTCTGAGCTGAGCACACCAAAAACTCACCTTGTCTGGGAATGTCACTACTCTGTAAATCAGCGAGGGAGGGGAGGATCTTTCCCTTATCTGAATAATTTCAATTTTTAAGAAGGACAAAAAATGCACTATGAATGTGAATGCTAATAAATATGATTTGAGAGTCTTGGAACTTCCCATAATTCCCTCAAGGATGCTCATTCTGCTTACAGAGCCCAGTTTTGCACTCATAAATCTCAACATTTCCTTTTAGTCACTTCCTTTACATCCCTTCTTTCTTTGCATGGCCCCGCTCTTAATTCCAGGTCTGGCTGACCCAGAGCCAAGCTCTTGGGCCCTCTCTCTAGTCTCTTGCTGCGTTCCTGTCTTCACAGGTGAATCCTGGACTCCCCCTCTCTGTACTCCACTAAAAACACTCATTTCTTCAATGTGGCTCAGGTATAGGTATAGGGTGAGAAAGAGAGTTGGTTAAGATCTGAATGCGCATAATCTCTAGCCCTAACCCCAGGAATATTTTCTTTTTAATCCAAGCAAATCTCTAGATTTTGGCTTATGCTTCCAGGCCAGAGACCTTCCTGTAAATGACAACGTTTGGTTTATCCCATCAAGTGTGTGACAGCAGCCAGATGTGTGTAAGTGTAGCACGAATTTGCATGCTCACAAACTGACAGTTCCACCAGGGGCAGGTTGCAGGATCCATTCTCATGCTTGGAGTATTCTTCCCTTGCCATGGGGAGCAGGTGCAGGGAGCCACGTGATTTTCTTTGTGCAGCTGCTGACTGGCTGGGGTTAGAGGAGAGATTCATAGCTGTGCTTCCTTCAGGAACTTTCCAAAGAGTGAGAAGAGACAGCAAAAGGGGTAGGCACGGTGGCTCACACCTCTAATTCCTGCACTTTGGGAGGCTGAGGTGGGCAGATCACTTGAGACCAGGAATTTGAGACCAGCCTGGGCAACATGGTGAAACCCCATCTCTACTAAAAATACAAAAATTAGCTGGGTGTGGTGGCATGCACCTGTAGTTTCAGTTACTCAGGAGGCTGAGGCAGGAGGATTGCTTGAGCCCAGGAGGTGGAAGTTATAGTGAGCCAATGCGCACCACTGCAGTCCAGCCTGGGCAACGGAAGTGAACTTGTCTCAAAAAAAAAAAAAAAAGAAAAAGAAAGAAAGAAAGAAAAAAGGACAGCAGAAGGGCAGCTCCTCTCCTTATTGACATTATTCCCATCTACATATCTCTTCCTTCATTTTTCCTCTCCTAGGAAGGAGAGATGGGGCTGGAACTGGGCTTGGAAAGCAGCTGCCTGGTCCTATTCAGGGTTCCCTCGTCCTGCTCTCTCCTTCTCTGCCCAAACCTTCGCCATCTGTGCCCGTTTCTCCGAACTCTGCATTAGTTCTATCCCCAGCCTCCATTCTTCCCAAATCTCTTTCTTCATGAGGACTGGCAATGCTTTTTAGGGTAGGAAGACAGCTGGATAATGCTTGTCCCTGGCCTCCACCCATCAGGACCTAAAGTGTCAGGGCTGAACTTGGTTTAGGGGTGGGTGCCTCTGATCCAGTCACTGGGTGGGGAAGTCCATTCGAGCAGCCATCCGGCCAGCTTTGCTCACTCACAGAGCTCCAGAATCCAGTACAATGCTAGAGTCTTGAAGGCATTCTCCAAGGTTTTGCTGCATGAATGGCCAACCTCCTGACTGACGGATGGACTGACTGAATGAATGAATGAATAGCTGTGTCTCCGTGTTCTTGTCATGGTTCTTCTTCTCAATGTGGCTTGGTTTTCTTCTCTGCTTGATGGCTGTCGCCTCATATTCTCTCCCAACCCTGCCTTCCTTCTGCTGTCTCATTCTTTTTTTTTGGCCCACCATTTATGTTCAGTCATTTGGTTTTTTTCTGCAATGTTATTTTACTACCATTTTTTCCTTGCCCTGTCATCTAGCATCAGACCCTCTAGTTTTTCTCATCATACTTCATAGGAAGAGCCAGACTTCCGAATCACCCACATGAGAATAGGAGCTCCTATTTTTTTTTGGTCACCATGGCTATGGTTTTTCTCCTCAACAATCTCTGCTTCAAGAGGAGCCAACAGCTCCTGACTTAATCCCCTAAACACCTTGCCCTGCAGCTCAAGCCATCCTTTGC